AGGCAAATTAAATTTTCTACATCGGTCGGAATTCTGCCTCGCGGAGCTTTTCTGCTCTTAGCACTTTTTGCTTCAGCCTCAAGTTCAAACCTTTAGAAGCTGTAGGATGCTTGACTGCTGATAGACCTGTCCTGTCTGCGCCGAATTGATGCGTAGTGCCGCTTGGAGTTCTTCTACGTAAAAGCATGGGTGCTCCTTAGCGTACTTACTTACAAACGCCAATACTTCAGGATCACGAACATTGCTGGAGTCTCGACTGTCTGGCATTACGTGGCCACTTGACTTGAACTCTTTATACCAGCGACGTACTGTGCGGCCCGACACCCCAAAGCTGCGGCTCACTTGCTCGCACGGAACACTGTACGCATAGTGTAACGTGATGGCCCTCCATCGAAAGTCAGCTGAGTACATGGCTATAGCTCGACCGTTTAAAACTACTGGCTCCTCTGACCTCTTGGCATTAACTACGATTAATAGCTCTCTATACCGATATACACTCCATTTTAGTAAATGTAGGCGCCTTTTAATATCTTGCCCTGAGCACTTAAATTCGGTTTTACTAAAGATTTGGAATGGACATAGTGCTCGGTCTTCACAATATTTTATGTTTTTTAAAAAAATCTAGCTAAACAGATTCCAATGGAATTACCGGAAATGATTCCGTGTACAGTACTAAAGTTTGATCGATGTTAGAGTCACACAATGGTTATGTGACTTCGTACTTAAGTGCGTATAAATGTCACCATATTCGGTTGTGTACCTACGACAAAGGCACAAAGCCACACAAAGAGAATAAAATACCGAATATATTTTCAAAATTTCATCGTTTGTAGACATTATTGAGGCCATCCAAGTGTGTGGAAGGGGTTGCGCAATCGTCAAATGTCGTGCGAATATCGAAGGAATACGATGAAGTCTGCGTGTTGCCAGATTGTACACATGACTTAGCATTTTTTCGCAAGTGAGTCCGTGAGTCCGATGTGGAAGTAATGAGATCAACGGAGGCCCTAATGACATTTTAATGTATAGCTTCATGTACCAGAAAGTGTTGAACATCGTTAAGAAACCCGGTTGATGCATGAACTGAATGAATTACGCATTTTTTGCAGTGTGCTAACGTCTCTCCCAAACATGCAGTGACTTCAGTAGATGAAGACATTGTCAAGAAAATCTGGTCAGAGATAGTAGCCAAAATGGATTGGAAACGAGAAGTGTAGCTGAAGCAGACAAATGGTCACAATTGCGGACCTCTTGTTCTCCTGTTTTTTTGAGAGCATTGTGCGTGACGTCGTTCTCCCGAAGTCGCCATCGATAGCACTCCTTCGGTACTACAGGGTGAGATTAAGTGGGGGTCAAATACTGTGATCCGGTTTGATGTGGACTTGAAGTCAAAGACTGCACCGCACCAGTGGTTTCTGTTGATATAAATTGGCAGCAACACATGCGTGTTGTGCTCTTGGAATTCGTCGGAGCCGCTGATGACCTTCTCCTGCGTTTCAGGGTCATCCGTACCGGTAGCGCCTGGCGAAATAATACCAACGTGTGCATGCTCTTCTTGGATCGTCGTCATTACGTGCATCATGCAGTCGTCGTTCAGCCATAGATATTCTCTTAGCAGCAGAACGGATTCATTCGAGACCATTCCGAACGGTGCCAAGCGTGAGATTGGCAACACAATCTGCTGCAGCGCTGTGGTAGCCTTAGTCTTATCTAGTTCAACATACTCATTGAGACCTTCTGGAATATCCAGTCTGTTTAGCGACGTAGCTGCCATCCACTCAATTGTATCAGACACTGCCTCCAAAGACTTCATCGTGTTATGGTACTCCACCATTACTTGCACTTGGTCCTCGCTGATGACCCCGATCTTAGCGAGACGAACACCTACGGGTGACTTCGGATCTGGTAGTGCCTCTCTGTACGTTTCCAAAACATTTCTGCATTTATGCGTGAATTGCTCGGTGAACACGAGCTCGACGCTGCTCAGGGCCTCACTGGGGGCTACCAGCTTCGCAATTACTTGTTTCCTGGGGCCCACCGTCTTTACCGATAATTTGGAGAGGAACTCGTATGCGGATTCGTAGCTGTATGTCGACTTCAACACTCTGGCCACATTGCTTAGCGTGATAACCGGCGTCAACGTCCCTTGCACGAGCTGTTTGGCTTTCTTCAGAGAGCTCACCAATCGTTGCTTCTTCACTTGTTGTTTCTGGTTCTTTCGTATCTTGGGCCGACCGCGGCTTTTGGTGCTTTTCGAGACGAAGAATGAGCATTCCTCACTTGAACTGGAACTGGGATGTCCGCCATCTGAAAGCGCTCTCTTTGCTGGAGGTGCTACTTGTTTTGTCTCGTCATAGCTCGAATGTGATAGCCCCACAATACTTCTTTCGTCCCGCATCTCAGATTGATCGGGGAAACCTTGCGCATCACTCGTCACTTCGTCGGAGTGACTGGCGCCTCCAGAGTGACTGTTGCTATCCGTCACCTCTATCGTGTGACCCGTGTGACTTGAACAACGTGACAAATCACGTGAGTGACTTGGTGATTGAGCCACCATAGGCCCACCGCGACCCAAAGCATCGTCAGATTCGTCAAGGTCGCCCTCACGCTGTATCTCATCCTCGTTGTTGTAGATAGTGGCGTCGACGATTGCAGTTGGAGGCTCACTGGTGTCATCGGAATTTGCTGCTCCATCATCATGTATCTCAGAAATCTGCGAAAGAGGATCCAGTTGAGAGAGCCAAACTGGCCATACAGAAACGAAAGGTGCCTCTCCATCCGTTGCAATGGACTTAAAGCGCTTAAGACTTTCCAGCATCTGGATAAACACGGGAGTTCCATTTCGGCTCATAATATCTGCAATTCGCGTCGCTACAGCGTGTGATGTTCGGAACTTGTTAGTCCCGTTGAGCACTTTGTGGCGTACCGCTGTCAAAGCGGAATCTCGCACCCGAAATGATCCACTCGTTGCTTCTCCGTCTTCTGCATCCTCATCTTCTTCAGCGGGAATGTTCAGCGGGGATGACAGACTCCAACGAGGGTGGATGTGCTTGACTGGAATGGGGCTTTTTCCACAAAGTAAACGCCAGTATATAGCATGACGACAGGGAAGCAGCTCTGTCCTCATGAAAATACACGAACAGTGATACGTCTGTCAAGTCAGAATAACCATTCAATAAGTATTGATACCATTCACCCATTATGGACGAAACAATTCACGCACCCTAGTATCAAGATGGTACTTTCGACTCGTGTCAACTGCTGACACCATCTCGATCATGTAAGATTGTAGCTCGCGCGTTGTATACGTAGTCTTGCGATCATTAGCAACGCGATACTGCTTTTCCACCAGCTCGTAGGGGTGCTGACTAACCTCTTTTGATAGCTTCGTCAACTCAGCATCAGCTCCAGCGTAACGCATGTGTCCAACGTCTGTCAATTTCTTCGCATACTCCATCTCCGCAATAGACTGCAAGAGCTGCAGAGTATCCACGCACTCATCGAGCTCCATCGTAGACTTCAGCACGTCCTTCAAGTGGCCCCATGCCGCCTCCAACCTAAGTCGTTATACAAGTCAACATTTAGCAATTAAAACTTGGGACAGCACAAAAACGCCTCAGTACCTGTTGTTTGTCGTGTTTCCCAAATGAGGGACGTCTACACGACCAAATTCACTCCACATGTGTCTGCAATTGTGCCAATTCTCGTGGAAGTACTTCAGAAATGGGTGTCTTGAGTCCTCTGGAATATCTTCTTCAAATGCAATTTGCTTTCCGTCAACCACGTAGTACAGATATCTACGACTCGTTTCGTACTCAAGCTCCGTCTTGGCGCTCACCATCATGTGAACGGCGTCCTCAACCTTATCCCGATCTTCAATATTATACCCTCTCTTTGCAATTTTTCCCCGAATATACTTCACCACATGAAAGACACAGAGCAGAATTCTTGCAGCAGGAAAAGCCTCCTGCAGAAGCGCAGTTTCTCCAAAGTCTTTGTCCACGATAATCACTCGAACTTGGTCCCAGGTTGAGTTAAATTATTTGAACGATTTCACTGCATCCCCCAAACAATCAGCACTTTCGTTCTCCATGAGTGCATGCTGCACGTATTGCCCCTGTGCACAAGCAACCACAAAGAGGTACACAATTGTAGCAATGGCACACAACCACAGTAAAGTCACATAGAGGCACACAAACGTAGCGGGACACACGGGCACAGTAGAGTCACACAAACCAACACAGAGGTACAATTAGAGTCACACAATCGACATAGCCACCAAGAGAGTACTTACATGGCCGAAGACATCGTGAATCATGAAACCGAAGAGCTTGTATCGAGCATCGTTGGTGTTGTGAGTGGCGTCCACCATCAACACCTGTGGGAACGCCTCAAAGAATCTTCGCATCTGGTGGGTTTGAAAAGTGATCGTCTGCGCTAGCTTCTCGTCATCCACATAAATGGTCGCCGTATTACCCTTTCGAGCGCAGAAATCGCGCAAACCAGACTCCAGTCTTGCCTCGACGGTTGTAGCTCCACGCCGCGCCTCTTTCAGCTTCGCCACAAGATTGTGCACATCACGCAGGGTAGCATGCTTGCCTATTAACCAGGAATTAGAGCCAAAACAAGCATAATAACAAGGATACAATCATGTAGCGTACCAGTTTTCTTCCTCAGAAATTGCAGAATCAGCTTTTTCTTCGCCCCGGCAGCTTGAAGCTCATCCACGAAGTCAATCACGTCTTCGTCTGCAACGCGTCGATTTGAGGGGTGATTTCCATAAGATCCTGAGCTTAGTGAGTGGCTGTGCGCTGTCTCCTGGTGCGTAACCTTCACTTGAAAACCCTGAGCAGCATCCCAAATTACGACGACCGTCATCTGCGCTTGACATCCGGTAGACTTCACGAAGTAGTTATGCCTCTTGCCCTTCGAACGGCTGGGCCTTGACCAACTATGCGTGCACACCAACTTTCGGTAGTACTTGTCGAAAGCGTCTGGTATAATGGTCTGCGGGGTGTCCTTACCACGGTCTCGGAGATCCGCGTTCCTCACCGTTGCGCTTGTAGAGGTCCTCTTCTTGAATATCTGGTGGGTTTTGTGCTGATATGCGTCAAAATACTCGAAAAACGCACCCCAGCTCCCGAACGTCTCCTCATCCATACGTGGGGCTCGGGCGACAACGGCGGCAGATGTGGGGACGTGGACCTCCGGGGATTTAGCTTCAGTGGTCTCGGCGTCGGGCTCGGATGCCGACGCGACGCTCGCCATGCTGCTTGTCCTGCTTTTCGCGCCTCTTTTGAAATGAAAGGCCCAGAATGAGTTGGGAGGGGGAGGGGTGTTTTTCTACTTTTGATGCTGACTGATTTGTCGGGATTTTATCCGTCAGGATTTTTTTTCGTACCGACAATTATTGTGTGACTTTATCCAGTTCCCTAAAGTTTACCCATTTTTTGTGAAAGGAATGAACAGTTCTCAAAACAAAGACTAGGAATCATGGACGCAAATTTGGCTCGTGTGGGCGTGAGCGACACCGCGCTTCGTGCGCACTATTCCAATGCTGTCTGCGATGAGCTACAGGAGGCTGATAAGAGGCTGCAAAAGGCACTGGCAGCACTAAAGCGCGCCTTACAAGTGGCGGAAGCGTCGCGAGAGTTACACAAGTCTTCACTGGCGCTGGTGGACGAGTCGCCCGACGTTTCTAGCATGATCTCGAGAACCGCATACAAGTAAGTTTACAACGGTGTCAGCTTCTTCGTCACAATCTCGAACCCCAGATGGTGTTGTTAGAGTTATTCGCCCCTTTGCTCGACGCCGAGGGGTAGATCCAAGCCACTACCCCCACGCAGTCCGAGCACTCGCAAACGTAAGGCTCCTGAGCATTACCTTGCTCCGCTCGCACTTCCTCCAGTGAAGAAGGTCGACCGATGGGAACTGCTCGAGAAGAGGCTTGCGCTTGCTTCACAAGGAGAGCATGGCGAAAAGGTCCTCTCATGCTTGCTAGCAGCACGAAACTCCTCACCCCACACGAGCATCAGCAAGCTGCAGTCCACGTGCCGTGAGCTTGCAGATGCCAACGACCGAGGTAGCGACGTTGCGTCGTACATGGACGACATCCAGGCAGTGCTAACCTTTATGGCCCCGTGTCTTGTTGGCGCGCAAGTACCTTTCGGTCGGAAAGAGCTGAGGAGTATATTGTTGCTTCTGCAGCGTTTACCTCGCGAGTTTCCCGAGACCGCAAAGCTACGCAAACACATTGCTGCCAACTTCGAGACTCCAGCTGAAGAGGTGGTGGATGTCCAAGAACAACTGAAGAAGATGCTGAAGGAAGTGCGAGGGTGGTGCCGTGAGGAACCCTACTCTGTTAGTGTGTTTGAAGATCGCCTGCAGTTTGTGAAGAAGACGATCGAAGCATCAGGATACGAAGGATACGATCCTCGTTGGGATAAAAGTATAGCCGAGTTGCTTTTCCGGTTTGGTTGTTGTCTACAAGCATTTCACACCGGCTGGGCCCAAGACCGGCGATATGACACCATTAGATCTTTACTATCTGAGATGAAGAGTCAAGAGCGGCGCCGGTAAAAATGCTTCAGGTTATTTTGTGTGCACCACACCGTACTTGAACGTCACCTCGAAGCGACATTATACAGTCACAACGCGCGACAGACACGAGCTATATTTGCTCAGACTCATACTGCAAGACGTCTTGCAAGACAACAGGATAATTCCGGCACCAAGAACGCTTCACGCCCGAAACGGCGAGGCAACCGTTCTCTTCATTCCTGAAACAGACGCCTCCAGATCAGTCGCTGACGAGCTACATGAGTGGCGAGAACAACGAGAAGCACTACTTCACCGAGGAGTTTCCCGAGCATGACTATAAATGCACGACCGAGTCTTCTCACCCGCAGACGCCACTTTGGCCGGCCTATCTGCCAGTGAATCAAGACCGAATTATCGTCTTCGAGCGTAGCAAGAATGCGCAGCTCGTCGTGTACTCGGCCAATTTCCGTGATAAGAAGCGCCGTGAGCTAGACCCGAAGTGGCCGCTGGACATCAACTGGCAAAGCTTCGGCTGGACGGACCACCCCACGAGTAATTCCACTGGAATGATCGAACGAAAGCTGGCATGGGGCTACTCGCACAAAGCCGTAAAGCCAGAGAGCCCTGTTGCCGTTGAAGCGGTTGGCAGCAGCTACACGGTGACATTGAATGCACTGCCCAGTCGCCCTTCTCTGCTCTACGTAGACGCTAAAGGGCGTGTCATCTTACAAACCACGATCGATGGTGCGCCGTCGCGTCTCTGGAAGATCTACGTGAAAACTATCAACAGCGTTGCCTTCATCCCCAAGGTGCTGTACGTCGACCTCTACGGTACGCACGTCGACGACGACCACGCTACCTACGAGCGCATCACTTTCTCGTCCTAACTTAGTAGTAAATGGAAGCATAAACCAGCTCACTTCTGAATAGAAATACACAATTTCTTTTCTCGTATCATGCTGATCTCGAAATCCGCTTCCTCCATTCTCTTCTGCTGCTACCACGTCTAGAGTTTCTTGCCATCGTAGTTCCAGTTAGCGTTCGCGCCGCCGTGTCCATGGAGAGGGGACAAATTGTACGCCGCCGCTACCTCCTCGAGAAAACTCGTCGAGTTGTGAATGCGTGATCCGCCAAGGAGAATGCGCTGGCCTGAATTTGTCGAAGCTGCCTTCTGGTTAAGCTCGGCCACTTTCATGGCCTCTTCAAACGTGACACCACCGCACATGAACACGATAACGTCACGGACTCGCTTTACGCCGTTGCTTCCGCTAAGGTCAGTGGACGTTGTAGCACCAGCACCTCCATTCACCACGCCAAACTCTTGATCCAGCAATTGACCCTTTAGAATAACTTCTAGCTTCTTAACTAGCGGCGGCACGTGTTGCGCATACACGTTCGGAACCCCTTGCACACCTTGAGTGACTGCCCGCATGAACTTCTTCAGTCCAGCACGATCACCGTACAAGTCGCCTTGACGAGCCTTCTGGCCGCCAAACTTTAGACAAGCATCAATCAAAGCCACACGTTCAGCAGGCAACCCTCCTCCGTGCGGGGCTGCCAACAACTCCTTGACCGTCTTGAGCTGCACCGAGCTGTGTGTTTCGTAGCGTAAAGCATATAGAATCGCTAGGCGCAGCTTGTTAAGTGGCTTCACTTGCGCATCTTTGAGCTTCGTCACCACATCGCGGAAATGCGCGTTGTGGTCGTCTCCGCATGCGAGTTCCTGCTCCAATTGGCTCACGTCCATAAGTCCATCCACTTCCACACGACGTGCCAATTCACCCATCAGCGTCACATGCTTGGATACCGTGACCGACTGGGATCTGAAAGCTGGATAGTTCTCCAAGAAGCGCTGCATATCGTCAATAGACTGAATGTTCTCGTGGGTCTGAGTTTGCGATTGATACTTGTCCACGAGCTGCTTTACTGCCATACCCAAGTCACCAAAGTTGGCGTGCACATGTTGGGCGAAAAAATCGTCCGAAATTGTAGATAGCACCAGCTCCGTCATGTCCTTACGCACATTGGGTGCGTCGCGGAGATCCACGCGGTTCTCGTGCAATCCAAGCAGTTCGTGCACCATGGCTTGGTAGCACCATTGAGTGAGTAATGGCGTCACGGGGTCGTCCTTACGGTCCAGTACATACACGAGTGGGGCCACCTCTGGTCGTCTGAAGTCAAAAAGTCCATCTTGCTCGAGTTGCATCCGTGCAGACACTTCACGCGCCAGTTTCTCGGCCACTTCCGATCCTTTGGCATACCGGATCGTCGGCTTTTTCTTCATGGATAGCAGCACAGATAGTAGTCCTTCTACGCTTCTTATAAACAATTGCGGGGGTGTCATTTTGGTCTTGTCCACAGGATCTGTGGTCTGAACTCCAGCCGTGGCAGTGGATAGCAGAGCTCCTCCAGGCGAAGCACTGGGCATCTTGACATTGAGTTGAATGGAGTTGTGTAGGCCAAAGTCGTAGAGCGAGTCGTTGACCGCCAGGTAGTCAGCGTAGTATTCTTGAATTTGCATTACGACCTCCTTCTCATCCGCTTCTGCGAGTTTCTCGAGCGCCTCGACGGGCAAGATGTTGGAGAAAAAGAGGTGGTAGCGGCCATACTTGGGCGACTTAAGCTCTCGGCGTAGAAGCTCCACATTGCGTGAGGTGGGTCGCACAAAGACAGCGGCTTTGAGGTGCAGCATGGGCTCGTGGGTTGCGTCCAGCTGCTCCACTAGGAACACTTCGCGCTGCAGGATGTGCGACTGGGACATAACCATACTGATGACGCTCTTAGTGTCAGCATCCAGCAGCAGCGCCTTCATCCCCTCTAGCTGCGGGTCTGAGATGATCTTCTCTAGGTAGTTCTTCACACTGGCGATCGCGTCCATGTATGGCTGACGAGCTTCGAGCTTCCTGTCCGGTGGACCTTTCTCTTAGAAATGGAGCCGAAAATACGCTGAGTTCTATAACAGAAGTTTTCTATGCAAAATCAATTAAAATATAAATTATCATAGTTTTGCTGAAGTAGATTTTTTCTTACATGTTTATTCTTATGCTGCTGGAAGCTCACTTAATTTATTCTTCATTCCTGTCGCTCATCCAGCGCACTAACATTCGACAATCACAGCAAGACTCCAACACGCGGTTACGATGGCAACCACACTGATAGCGACAGAGGCGACGCGGTCCATGTTCGTTGCGTCCTCACCGCACAGTTGCCAGTAAAAGACACAAGGTAGCACGAGCGCCAAAAGTGCCGTAGGCATCAGCATCCACGCGAATACGTCGATCGTACTGGGTGCCGTGAAATAACCCAAAAGAAGTGTAGTTAGCACCAAAATACTCCGACAGAACACACGTGCAGCGGTCTCAACGCCTCCGCACCGTCCTTCTTGATCACTCTGAAGTGTGGGGCTGGAGGTCACGAATGGTAATTCTCCTGCGGCAGCGGCAGCTTCAACTGGGCTGTTATGACCGCTTCCACTCGGAGGCTGTACGATCCACTGCTCGAATGCACGCTGGAGAGGAAATAAGGTGACGGTGTACGATAGCAACAAATGAATGCTGTACATCACAATGGCCACGTTACGCACGACGACGTTGCGCATGTTGAAGAAGACGGGTGCCTGTAGCGTAGCTCCGTACACGGCATACGTGACACAGCAAATGGGTAGATACATTAGCGCTGTAACCCCCAACTTCGTGCGAGCCACTACCGAGCTGCACTGGCTTGGATCTGCCATGGCGTCGTACAATGTAGGTATGATCGAGTGGCCAAAGAGTCCACCGAGGAGTAGCGAAAATGTATACGAGAGCTTCCCCATCATAGACACGTTCGAGAGGTCAGGCGTCACAAAAATGAAGTCTGAATGCTCCAGTGCAATCTGCTTGAGCGGGTACATGGCGTCACCCACGATGACCGACTCGATCCAGAAACTAAAGGCCACATTCACTGCTGAAAACACCGCTAGGGCCTTTAGCGATGGCACAAGCACTTGGAACCAAACGCACACTGCCACCAACATCATGACCGTGCCGTACTGAAGTCCCAAGACATCCACCAGACACCACGACGCCAGTGTAAGATATCCCGTGGAAAGAATGAGAAAAGATGCGTGCACCAGCAAACTTGTGATCACCTTTCCAGCTGCACCGAAACACTCATGTCCGAGGTCGCTGTACGAGACGCTCGTGCCTCTCAACCAGCGCACCGCCTCCAGCGCGTCTACTAATAGCTTCGAAGTGTATGCGCTCACCACCGCAGCCGCGCCAAGCAGTAGCACTCCGTACCAGTTGATCTCCACGAGCGCCAATGGCAGGCACAGCATGCCCGTGCCGGTGATGAACGACAGCAAATGGTAGAACGTCTGCCAGTTTGAAAGCTTGTTGGACGTGGGCGCCGCAACTTGGATCGCAACCGACGGTGGCCAGACGTCTCGCGAATTCTTCGCGTTCCGGCTAGACGTAGCGCCATAATCGGCGTGGTTGCTGCCCACCAGTGAAAGGACACCGACTGCTGCACCTCGGCCGTCGAAGCTGCCGTCGTAGCCATCATATCCCCTCGCGTGCTGCTGCCCAGGTGGCACCAGGCGCTGCGTCTCGAAGCTGCGGCTCATGCGCTCACCCGCCATGTCGGTTCCCGCTTTTCGGAAGGAGTTACTGTATCCTACGCTCCGATACGATTGGGAGCGCTACCTTTAAAGGTAAAACGTCTGGTTCCGCTTCAAGAGCGAACTCGCGTTGTAAGTGAGACAGGCAATTATTTGAGAGATTGGTCGTGTGAGAAACACCATATGCAACATTCCAGCAACACTACTTTACCTGTTTACACTGGAAATTTAGGGTCAGGGTACGTGATCTATTGTGTATTTCAATGCTTTTGTCCTTTTCACTTACCCTGATGCTTGATTTTTCATAAATAGAGATCGTTTTATTAAAACGAGGTCTATAAAAGAACACATCGATCAACTGATAAATCGAGCTACGGCAGCCAACAGCCACCAAATCCACATCGATATCCTGTAAACCGACCTTTTTGCCGTTTTGAAATGGTAATATAAATCAAGTCGATGCCTGCCTCTTCCCATGTCATTTTTACACATGGTTTTATGCTCCGACCATGCTCGATCTAGAATGAGAGACTTCCAAAAATTTCCTAGCCTGCGAACCAAGCCCAAATCTTGGCGCGGTATAGTACATTACTTGGTACACATTAAGTCTGTGCTTAGCTCAGCATCGGCTGCCAAAAATGGTCCAAACGGCGTAAGGCTAGGTGGCCACTCAATATGTCACTAAAACAGTTCGAAGGGGCTAACAACATGCACAGCAGACGTATTGCGCTCCAGATTCAAGTCATCCGCTTCGCCCAGCAGCACCAGCGCATACGACAGCACCGAGTCCTACGTAGACGCCTTATTTATATTCTTCATCTACGCATGCTATTGCGAGAGCGTGGCTATTTGACAACTACAGCCTTGACAACTAACGTGTGTTGCGCCTAGTGATACATGTACAAGCTGCGGTGCGAAAATCTTTTATCAGCACGGTCTCGATACTCTCATGCCTTTTTTTTAAGCAGAGTAACAACGACACCTTTATTTAATGAATGCAAAAAATACATTTTTTAATATCCATAAGCTGCGATCACTTTCTGACTGAGCTATACAACGGCTTAAGCGACTGGTTTGTCTTCATCGTCGTTGTTGTTCAGCTGGAGCAGCAAATCAGCGCTCCCACCTACTAGACGCGCTAAAAGCAACATCATCATCTGCTGGCTTCTCGATTCACGTTCGTCGCGCTGACGCTGGTAAATTTTGCGCTCCCTCCGGTATTGCGCCTCTCGTGCGTCGTGGCACTCTTCCATTGCCATTAAAATCGTTACCATGGGGCTTACCGGGTCTGCGGAGCAGTTGTCAGAACGCAGATCACTTTCCACGTTTTCAATCACTCGACTTGCTGCTTGCAGCGGGGTTGAGGAAGCAAATTGCATGTTGATCTGAGTCGTTGGCGTGGTATTGGGAGTCGGCGAGTTCTTAGAACCGGAAGCGACAGTGCCGCAAAGCATCCCAGCTCCCTTGAGACAGTCGTCGTCGAGGGTGCTCTCTAGAGTCCCAATACTGTTGTCACATTGTCATTGCTAACTGTATCAATATTCTCATCGTGGAGATCGATCACTGCAATAGATGATTCTATAGCATACTGAAGACGCTTTGCCCGCCGGACATCATCGGTACATACATCATTACCTTTATAAAAGATTGAATAAACAATACTAAAAAATATTTTGTACTTTAAGTGCGCTTACCTGAGGCTGGTCGAGCTTCTGGAACTTACGCTTTAGGCTTTCCCCATCTCGCTCAGTCCACCCGGTAGGTATGTTTGTATTGAACTGAGCAACGGTCTGCCACTGCTCAGAGCCGAACGGTAATATATCTTCAACGATGTTTAGCATTCCTGAAAGACGCGAATAAGCTTAGCGACTTAAACACCAGTAGAACAACCGTATCCCTTACTTATGACTTCAGATGTGGTGAAGTTCTTGCCTTTGGTCTTGCCCTTTGCCATTTACACCCGCTCTTATACGTTCTTTCAGTGAAATTGCAAACTGGAAGAGCTCGTCAGGATGCTGAGGCGAACCCCCTCTAACTCGATTGTTTGGTTCATACCAAACTTAGCGTTTGGTTGGGCGTTCTCTGCGTCTGACCGTCGCTTGGTACGACTTTGGTACTCACATGGTACGCAACATAGGAGCGGTTTAGTTTTTGGTACTTAATTCATTTTTGGAAGTCTCTCAATGGACTTTTCTCCTTCGGACTTCACTGCTAGGGGCAAGTTGGCTTGATTGGCTTTGGAGAATTAGACTCGTTGTAGTTCCTACTTGAGGCCTCCCACGAGACAAAACCTTTTCAAGGTGAAAACCCGTCTTAGAAGAGCTTTCTACTAGCTAATCAAGGTTTGAAGAAGAGAAAAAAATTATCGCTGGCAGCCTGGCTGCTTCTTCACGTCAGCTCTGCGCTTCTTGGATCGGCCGAGCTCTGAGCTCCTGGCGGCAAATCTGCGATTGGCAGGGATTCGCTGCTCGGTCTGGTTCGAATAACTCGGTTACCTTCTTCGTACTTAACCGAACACTTTTCTCCTTCGGACTTCACTTCTAGGGGCAAGTTGGCTTGATTAGCTTTGGAGAGTTAGACTCGTTGAGTTCTCCTACGAGCTGACACGGTATCTGACGCGGGCGCTGTCTGTTTCGTGATATTCCCACATCGAGGCCTTGATCATCGAGCTTGCCGCGTCTCGGATCATTCCTGGTCTGAGACGGGTGTACACTGTGAAGCACCAACTTGACCACCTTCCCATTAGGCGAATGAACAGGTCACTCTTTCCTGCTGCTAGGAGTGTACAAGCTCCCCCTGTACGTAGTGGATGTGCTGAGTAATCCTTCCTTGGGCATCCTTAGTCGACCGCTGCCGCCTTAGTTAGATTGCTCACGTGTGACTTCTTGATCGTAGCTGTTCTCAAAACTGAGATAATGTATGGTCCCAGCACCTTTCCTTCGCAAAGCCATTGGGCTCGGATCTGTAGATACGTACCAAGTGCCACTACTGGGCATGGCGTAACGCTGTTGGATAAGTAGTGTCGGATCGTGGTGCCGTACGCAACTCAATCTCCTTTATGGGAGTCGAATATCATCTCCACTGACACGGCCCCTGGGGCTTCAGGTCCGACCTGAATTCCGTGCTTGTCGCGCAGTACCACATTGGCGGTCTTTATGCAATGGACTCTATCCGTTCCTGTCGATCGATGGACGCTGATAGCTCCCCATAGCTCTAAGCATCTGTCGAGAAAGAAGAACCCTAGTACGATGGATCCCCACATAATTTTGGCTTGAAGGCCAGGCTTTCCTAGACGTTCTCGCATTTTGAGCAGCATCGGTGTAGTAACTGGCTGTTTCCTATCCACTTAACTCTGGGTCCGTTTGTATCCTTTAGCGACCAACTCAAATTCCGGCATTGTAATTGAGCCTTGCGCTCCGAACGGCTTTGTGTGCGAGTGCCACCGCTGCCATTTTCCCGTCAAAGGTCTGGTACTTGCTCCCTCGTCCTGCCTTGTTGTCTCCTTCTGAAGCGCACAATGCTGCGAATAGTCCGACCATCCTATCTTGTCGTGCCCTAAACAACTCATTAATCCACACGGGGGATGCGAAGTCGTTACAGAACGACTCCCGAAACTTGAAGTTCTTGCCATATTTCCCGAGCGTTCCGGTTGTGATTGAAGCCTGTTTGAGCTGATCAAGTTTTGCCTCCACTCGGCGGATCCGTGTTGTACCTGGCTCATAGCATAATTGTTAGTGGTTGTGTGTGCATCACAATTTTGAGTCTGCTCCATCCTTCGCCCGTACGTATGAGTGGACAAGCTTAGCCTGTACTGAGCCTGGCTCAGTGCACACCGTCGCAGGTCCTGCTGTCCGTATTCTGACTTGCAATACATTCTGCGGACCAAACCGGTGTTCCATCTTCTGCCGTGTACCATGATGCTGCACCAGGTGCCTGTGCTCGCTAACCGTGGGCCCCATTTATTAACTGCGGTAAATAGGGCCCTCACAATATCTTTGTCGTCCTGGACGGGCCCTTCCTCAGTGAGTACAAGGCGTTCTCTTAACCGCATGCTCGTGAGAATAACCACTTGCGGTTTTGTGACTACGAGCCATATCTCTTCGAATCCGTTGTTCTCTTGGAATAGCTCCATTGGCATTCTTGCAAATTCGTTACGGAAGACCAGGTCGTTCCACCACGTCAGGTCCTTCCGAAGAAACTGTGACGTCGGCACTCCTATCGTGTTGTTATTCCTGCAGTGGTTCTGAGTCCTCGTTAGTCGCTGGATGAATAGCTTGGTGATCGGGTTGAAGCTGATTACATGTCGAAGAGCTCCAATCACACTGTCCAATCTTTTCATTGACACAAACGATTTCCTGAGTGCTTCCGCCAGCGCCGAGTGAGCCTTGTCGATTTTGCGTTGGGGTATGTTGATGCACCCATCTGGGATGCTCCAGTCAATTCCCACGGCGTTGAAGCTACGCGACCAGGTCGTGAATTTTCCTTCGTGCCAGCCGTCAGACCCGAACACGAGCTTTATACCGTCTCTGAGACGCTTCTCCGCTTTTTGTAAGCGATCGTCTCGATAAGAACGATGTCGTCCACCCACTGAAATGTTCAGAAGGGATCAATGTGCCCCAATAAGATTGAGGCACCGGTGCGCTGATATTGGCGAACAGCCTTACCGAATACCGCAAAGAATCCTGGTGAAGATGTCCACCCCAAGACGGCCATGTCTGAGACGATGCCATGAAATGACTGCAGCAAACAGCCCCCAAAAGCTGAGGCATGACGAGAGTGCATGTTAGACAGAGGTTATACTGTGAGAATGTAGAAGTGATATTTGCTCTGTTACATTTTCCTGTGGCAGCCATTTGTGCCACCTCTCCTGTGTGTCCGTATAGTCGGCGGCCGAACCTGTCTTTTCTACCGCCTTGAACCGCAGCTGCTCCAGCCGCACGGTCCAAATCCAACAGTGCACCGGCACATGATGAAAAGCATCAGCGATATCCGCGACCATGGCATAGATGCTGTACCCAGGGTACCGTCGGCGGAGCTCGCAGACTCTGCGGGTGATCGAGACGAATGGGTCCCAAGTTGCGTCAGGCGCGGCCTCCGAGGCTGTCTGCGCGTTAACAGATAGCCCATCAGGGGCAGAAAGGTCATGAATGATGCGCCCGTCCAGATAGGGTGGTTTGTCTTTCTTCGGGACTAGCGCAAAGGCGATCGAATAAAACGTAAGGTCCTGGACCTGTGTGGCCATCTGGACCGCAATACACCGCCCCTTGTAATAGTCGGCTAGTAACTTATCCGTGACGATGGATGTCCCGGATGTTGCTCCCAGGTAGCTCGTGGGAATGGGGCGAACACCTTGACACACGGGCGCATTCCTCCAGGAGGGTGTCAAACCGACGTGAGCGATGTTGCACGAAGTTTCCAGAAGCGGATATGATGAAAGGTGAAAACGGTAGAGCCACGGGGCAGCGCTTTATTCGGGCGGTAATCGGCTGAAGTTTGACCGCGGAGCAGCTCCAGGGTTCCTGAAATTCCCAACTGGGGATCTGCCACGGGCGCATCCAGGATGCAAAGGGCGACAATCGGGATCGACAGTGGGTCCGGCCCAGGTGCCAGAAACGCCGTGTCCAAAGGAAATGACACCCCCACGCGGAGTGCCGCATTGTGGATGGCGTTGAGCACGGACCGGGAAACGCAGCGTGCACGACCGTGAGCCCTGCTCGACCTGGTCGGGGGCGATTCGAATGCGGAAGGAAGCCGGCGAGCCAAAGTCGTTACCTGCGCGGGGGAGTTGGTGAACTGGGCCACGGGATGATGAGGCCGATCATCCATGGCTGGCACGAAACGAAGCCGGACGAGGTGTGCCACGTAGGCAAAATCCTGGAGAACAAGCGACCAGGTCGCCTTCTGGTGAGCCTCCGCCTGGGACGACGGTGATGTGGGGACTTGGTTCAGACGCGCCGGGCTCAGAGCCCGCGGAAACGATGTCGGACAAGGCCAGAGTGCACCCGTGAGGACCAGGTCCTTGCTTGGATGCGTATCCATAATCCAGATGCATAAGGCGTCTGCAGCGATGTTGTATGTACGACTGACATGCTGAAGAAACGTGCACGACTTGGTCGAGCCTAGGATGTGAATAGTAGCAATCCAGGGCCGGAGACCAGGTGCCCTGCACACATTAATCTGTAGAGCCTGGCCGATGATGACACTCGAGTCCCCGAACACAGCGCTGTGCTGTCCTGGAAAGGCAGATCGGAGCCACAGAAGACATGCAAGAAAGGACTTGGGCCTCCGTGACGTTGCTGGTCCTTGCCGTGGAGAACGTGCGAGCTTCCCAACGGAGGAGCGACTCGGTACGGGACCAGACACACAATGCATAAGCACTTTGATCATCGGATCTCCGGCATCCCCGTCGAAAGAAGCAATGAGGACGGAATGATGGCGACTGGGGCGCTGTGAGTCAGTGTTCGACGCCGATGGGCCCACACGAGGCACGCTCTGATCGGCCATATCAACGGAGAATGGTAGATCGGGAACACTTGGTGAGCCAAAACGATGTGAATGTGCGTCTGACGCAACAAATCTTACAGTAGACATGCTCTGAGCGGTCATGCTATCGTCCGGTGACAAAGCAGGAACACTTGGTACACCAAATCGACGTGAGTGTGCGTCAGACGCCTCGTGCCCCACGGTAAACACGCTCTGTGTGGTGATAGCAACGTCCAGTGATAAAGCCGGAACACTAGGTGAACCAAATTGATGTGAGTGTGCGTCTGACGTAACGGATCTCACATCAGACGCGCTCTGAGCGGACATGCTAGCGTCCAGTGATGAAGCAAGAACACTTGGTGTACCAAATTGATGTGAGTTTGCGTCTGACGCAAGGACACTCACGGTAGGCATGGAGACGTCCGACGTCGCAATGGCCCCGTCAGGTTAAGCGACGTAGCATGAGCAGGCTTTCGAGGCCTGCGTACGGATGGTAGGGGCGATCCGAGTGTCAGACACTGGCGTCAAGAAAGGGTATTAGCTAGACGCATTAGAATGCACGGGAGGAGAAAAAACTGCACGATCCATGTTAAGTAAGAACTTGGAAGAGGTGACACACGGTCCTCCCCCACAGTTTCACTCGCGTTGGGGGTGCGGGCCTCGAGACCCGCGTGCATCGCATTGATCCAGTGGACCACATCTGGTGGCAACTGGTGGAGTTCGTGGAGGTGTTTGTTTACACGTGGTGAATGTGCATCCTTTCACCGACTGGGACCGAATACAAACCTGCTTTTCGTAAACGACGGAGACTTAAGAGAGGATGTTCTCTGGGATCATCGTCGAGACGCGTCATGGACGCCCTGAGGTAGAAGCTACCGGACGAGCAGCGCAGCGGCCGCCTTGTTGTGTTGTATCCCCAGCCCGAGGTCCGCGGGGTGACCCGGTGGTCTGAGCCGGGAAGACGGACTGGACGACCGCATCATTAACCACGCGTGAGACGAAACGCTCGTACTCGGGGGAATCACTGCGTAGCGCACGATATGCTCGACTGCTCATATCGCTTAGAGCGAGGCCATTCAGAATGTCGTCGAATTAGCTGGAAAACACAGCCTGGTACAAATTGCACATGGCATTGACCATCGGCGTGGGTGCTGAGAGAGCGACTGTAACGTGGTTGCATGGTGTGGAACACACAGGGGTACGGAG